GAATTGTGAGTTTGTATCACGCAATTCTGAGAAAAAAATTCTGAATTGCAAGATAAAAAGTCGCAATTACCTTTTTTATTTTTTATTCAGTGGCGGAAACGGGCTTCCATAAAAGGTTGCATAATTTTTTTTTTTTTTTGCACTGCTATAAAGCATCATGTACTGTTTCGAATTTGGAACAGTGTGGCTATAGTGAGTGAAATCTCAGAATGTTACTTTTTTTGTTTGTATTAGTTCTCTTGTTGGCAAGTTAGTTTCTGTACTCATAGTTGATTCTAAATCCATTTTAGGAAAACTCCTTATATATAATCAGTGTGCTTTTCTGGGTATATTAAATATCTCTTGTCTTGTTCAAGCATGAATCATGAAACACCTCTATACAGAACCAACGACCCGATACAGGAAATAGATGAATTGATCGAATCAAAATAAATTGTGTATGTCTATATTACAAAACAAATTATTTTCATAGTATTGTCTGACATTTCTGAACAGAAAAATGCTCCACCTAATCTTATTAGACTCACCATCAAAAACCACCAGCAGGTGTCTCGAAAAAGTGCTTTTAATTACAGCTGTGAGTCATAGATGTAATTGTCCATCTATAAGAGCACATACAGACCCCTGCGCTTCAGCGGGCCATGTATTGTCACACAACAACAATGTCCATCATTGGCACAGTCAGGCAGAGAGCAACAGGGGAGCTCCATTAGATCCATTACGGCACAGTCAGTAGTCGTCAGGTTTTGTCAAGAATGTGAATGCACTGTTTGTGACGGTCAGCTCCGCCCTCTGGGCTGAGGGATTGCTCTGATTGGCTTGTTCCCATTTTGTGCTGACTGATTGCAGCGTGAGTTTATAAGAGAGGAAAAAAAGAAACAGGATTAAGTGTAAAGTGTAAAGGCAGAGATGAACAGGCGAGTTTTTATGTGGAAACCTTGAGAAGGCTGCATCTTAATTATTAAAGGTAATTGAAAGCAAAGCTTTCCTCAAGACAAGCTTTACTTTCAGCTAACGTATGACCTGCAGGATGGATGCAATACTGGTATTGAAGTGATAGGCTTTTAAAGTGGACAAGCCTATTATTTCACTTTTTTTTTTTTTTTTTTGGCCATTTTTAAGATTGGCAAATATCACATTTGTATTATAGAAATATTTTTGAGTGAATTTTGAGAGATTTTTGTAAAAAAAAAAAAAAAAAATATTTGGACATCTCAATATTCAGTGCAACTACTGTCTACATATCATTTATATTTTGATTTATAATCAATACTTTTTGTACAAGGGGGTCTAAGAATTTAATAAAATTGTTGTACAATTGTAAAATTGTCATTTAATTTTCAATAATAAAATTTTTATTTAGAAATAGTATTAAACATTATAAATGTAATATTTAAAAGAGAAATTTAAAATGTATATATGTATTTAATTACTTTTCCGCATCATATGGAAGCAGGATAAAAAAGGTAACTGCAACTTTTTATCTCACAATTCAGATTTTTTTTCTCCCAATTTGGCCTTTTTTTCTTAGAAAAAAGTTGTATAAACTCAGAATTGTGAGATTCGCAAAATTACAAGATATTCACAATTCTGGGAAAAAAGTCAGAATTGTTAACTAATATGTTAATTCATAATTGCAAGGAAAAGTCAGAATTGAGAGATAAAAAGTATCAATTACCTTTTTATTTTTTTTATTCCGTTGCAAACTCAGAATTCTGAGAAAAATTCAGAACTGCGATATAAACTCAGAATTATGAGAAAGTCCGAATTCTATAGAAGTTTATATCTTAGAATTCTAAGTATATATCAATCAAAATGAATTGAATTAAAAAAAAGCTTGAATTGTGAGATATATTCTGAGAAAAAAAAATGCAAGGAAAAGATAGAATTGTGAGATAAAATTACCTTTTTTATTTTTTATTCTGTGGCAGAAAAAAAAAACTGAAGTGCGAGATGTAAAATAAAGCAGTGAAAAAAGTCAGAACTGGGATATAAACTCAAAATTACGAGAAAGAAAGTCAGATTTCGCAATTATGTGGAAAAAAAAAAGAATTTTCTGAAGGAAAAAAAAGTCTGAATTGTGAGAAATAAAGAATTGTGAGGGGGAAAAAAGTCTGAATTGTGAGATGAAAAAAAAATCGCAATTACCTTTTATATCAATATCTGCAATAACATTGACTATTTGTAGACCTTTGCTATTTACTGTCATAGTAAGGTCCACTACCGCGGTGATACCAGTTTAGTTTTTGTAAGTGAGTATTTGTGGTTCAATGCATTCTGCTTTACTTACCATGGCTGTGTTAAATTTCTCCACCACAAATGAGCTGAAGTCCTATTCGCTAAAGCGTGAATAAATGAAATCAGCTGGCTGGCTAATGTAAAGCACAGACACTGTTTATTCCGAGATTCATCAAAAGCAGTGGTTTTATTAAGAAAGTCCCGAGCTCTTTAAAAGGCTTTAAATGTAATCAGGCAGAGCCCAGACTCAGCGTCTCAGTGTGATCGTGCCATTAATCTTGTTACGGGCCTGCACCCCCTACCAGCTTTAAATATGCGTTAAAAAGAATGGAGCCATTGAGCATATTTGGTGTATGAAAGATATTGGCTCATCATTAAAAAGCCATGTTAGCCCTTTAAAGTGAGGAGAGGTGATTTCATGCTTGAGCGGGTGCTGTGCCACCCCTGAGCTGCTGTCCTTGGCAGAGCGTCCCGTCCGCGCACCACTCAAATAACAGCCCTCCACTGACAGCGTGATGGAGCTGAGAGAGGAAGGGCAGAAGAGGAAAGGGTCAAAGGTCAGAATTTGGAGGTGGATTAAGGTCAAGTCCTCTAGGAGTCAATCAGAATCTGTCGTTCATTGCATCATTCTTTCTATCGTTCTTTCTATTCTTTTTATCATTCTATCTATCTGTCTGTCATTCTATCTATCATTCTGTAGTTCTATCTATATGGTTCGATCTTTCTATCATTCTTTATGTTGTTTTTATCGTTCTGTCCATGGTTTGATCGTTCTGATATTCTGTGTATCGTTAGATCATTCTTCTACGGTTCTTTCTATCCTTCTGTTGATCTTTCTATCGTTCTTTCTGTCATTGTATCTATTGTTCTATATATTGTTCTTTTGGTTCTTTCTATTTTTCTAACTTCTAGCTATCATTCTTTCATTCATTCTATTGTTTTATCTCTCTTTTTTCTATTGTTCTTTTGATTTTCTGTTGTTCTTTTTTTAATTCTGCCTTTCTGCCTTACTGTTCTGTAGTTCTATCGTTCTTTCTATTGTTTCTATCGTTCTGTCAATGGTTTGATCATTCTATCTTGGGTTCCCTCATTCTATGTATCGTTTGAGCATCATTTTATTGTTCATTCTATCTGTCGTTCATCATTTATTCTGTCTGTCTGTCTCTGTTGTTCTGCCTTTCTATGTCTATCATTTCATCATTATATCTTTCTGTCCATCCTTCCATCGTTTCAGCATTCTATCATTTTATTGCTCTTTCTATATTTTTTTTCTTTTGTTCTTTCTATCATTCTATCATTGTTTGATTGTTTCAATTTTCTTTCTATTGTTCAATCTATCACTCGATCGTTAAATCATTCTAATGCTCTATCTATGGTTGGATAGTTCTGTGTTTGTCTTTCGCTATTTGTTCATTCTATCTATCTATCTATCTATCTATCTGTCTGTCTGTCTGTCTGTCTGTCGTTTGTTTGATCATTCTATCTTTGATCATTCAGTGGTTCTCTGTGATTCTGTCTATCATTATGTCTATCATTATATCTGTGGTTTGATCACTATCTATTGTTTTATTACTCTTTCTGTCATTTGTTTGTTCTTTCTATTGTGTGATCATTTAACTTTTCTTCTGTCATTTTTTTCTATGGGTGGATGCATTTCTTTTGATTTTCTGTTGTTCTTTTTTTAATTCTGCCTTTCTGCCTTACTGTTCTGTAGTTCTATCGTTCTTTCTATTGTTTCTATCGTTCTGTCAATGGTTTGATCATTCTATCTTGGGTTCCCTCATTCTATGTATCGTTTGAGCATCATTTTATTGTTCATTCTATCTGTCGTTCATCATTTATTCTGTCTGTCTGTCTCTGTTGTTCTGCCTTTCTATGTCTATCATTTCATCATTATATCTTTCTGTCCATCCTTCCATCGTTTCAGCATTCTATCATTTTATTGCTCTTTCTATATTTTTTTTCTTTTGTTCTTTCTATCATTCTATCATTGTTTGATTGTTTCAATTTTCTTTCTATTGTTCAATCTATCACTCGATCGTTAAATCATTCTAATGCTCTATCTATGGTTGGATAGTTCTGTGTTTGTCTTTCGCTATTTGTTCATTCTATCTATCTATCTATCTATCTATCTGTCTGTCTGTCTGTCTGTCTGTCGTTTGTTTGATCATTCTATCTTTGATCATTCAGTGGTTCTCTGTGATTCTGTCTATCATTATGTCTATCATTATATCTGTGGTTTGATCACTATCTATTGTTTTATTACTCTTTCTGTCATTTGTTTGTTCTTTCTGTTGTGTGATCGTTTAACTTTTCTTCAGTCATTTTTTTCTATGGGTGGATGCATCACTCAATTGTTCTCTCTATTGTTCTGTCATTCTGCACATCGATCGTTCTGTTTGCAGTTCAGTCATTATTTAGCTATCTACTGTTCTTTCTATCGCTCTATCTGCCTACACTGATCTATCTATCCCTCCATCCATCCACCTGTCCATTTTTCTATCCCTCCATCCACCTTTATGTTGACTTATCTATCCCTCCATCCATCTTTATATTGACTTATCTATCCCTCCATCCATCTGACTATCCATCTCTCCTTTATGTTGACTTATCTATTCCTCCATCCATCTTTATATTGACTTATCTATCCCTCCATCCATCTGACTATCCATCTCTCCACCCACCAGTCTGTCCATCCATCCATTAATGCACCCAATTATATATTTTAAGAAGAGTGAATATTTTTACTTTTCTCCCAGCAGAATAGTCAACATGTTCCGACATCCTGCCCTACAAAGATGTTACGGATTCCTATTCCACGTCCTCTGTAAATGACTAACAGGAAAGAACTGTGCGCCGACTGACCCAGAAATGAGCGAGACTCATCCACAGCGCGGGAGTGTATCAGTTCCTCCGAGCAATCCCACCGTCGTACCGGCCCCTCGCACGAGACGCTCAATCAACTATGCATGACTTGCCCTTAATAGGTTTCTTCACTGGAAATTTGGAACGGTTGTTAGCTGCTCGACTGGTATGGAACCACTTTGGTCCCTCGAGAATGGAGCTATACTATAACAGTCTGCAAGAACAACTATCACATGGCCATAGTCATAAAAGCAAGAAGTGAGGAGGAAGGTTGCTATACTAATTTGCAATCTATGTAATGTGAAATATTTGAAGTTTATTATAGTGTCACTTTCTGTCTAGTTGAAATGGAGACGAAAGTAGCCCCAGAGACATGCTCTGCTTTTAATGTCCACACAGACAATATACTGTATGTATGTATGTGTATATATATATACAGTATATATATATATATATATATATATGTATATATAGACGTGTGTGTGTGTGTGTATGTGTGTATACATATATGATACAAACTCATTTGAAATTAAAAGTTTCATGTGAATTCTACAGAGCTTCCACACCATACACAAATGTAAAGTAAAATCAAACTAGCCAAGAACAAGCTAGCCATGTATTGCCTTTGTTTTGAAAAAGGTTACAAAAAAGCCTTTAAGTTAGAAAGTTGTAGGATTAAGATCGATCGATCTGTCTGTCATTGTCTATCTACAGTGGGTATAGAAAAGAATCACCCCTGTTTAAAATAATCACATTGTGTTGCTTTGCAGCATGAAATGAAGATGGACACAGTTTTTGTTTTATCCAGCTGTATTTACTCAGTGCAACTTATAACATCCAAGTGAAAGATAGAACACCAACAAGTCTGAGAAAAAAACTAAAAACAATCACTGAGTTGGAAAAAGGATCACCATCCTCCTAAAAATGACTTGTAAACTCAGGTGTAGCTAATCATCTTAATGGCACACAAAGCCAGACTTTCAACCGTGATCAGCTGTGCTCATTTTGATTAGCTCAGCATGAAAAGAGCTTTCCTGGAGTATTTCAGTCTTTGGTAGTACAACTGAAGCAAACAATCAACTATGGGTGGCAAGACACTGTCAAAAGATCTATGGGATAAAGTTGTGGACAGGCACAAGTCAGGAGATGGAGTCAACATTTTTTTAAAGGATTTATCAATCCCTAGAAGCACAGTGAAGTCTATTATTAAAAAGTGGAAGGCATTTGGTACAAAACAGAGCCTCCCTTGATCAGGACATCCATCCAAACTGGATGAAAGAGCCGGAGGAAAATGAACAGAGAGGTGATCAGGAGGCCTACAGCAACTCTGAAGCAGCTGCAGGAGTTTGACAAAGAGTGGTCATTGTGTGCATGTGACAACAATATCACACAAAATAGTCAAATTCTTGAGAAAATCTGCTGCCCTCTGCCAGAAAGTTGTCAATGGGAAGAAGGTTTCCCTTCCAACATGACAATGACCCAAAGCACACAGCAAAACTGACACGCAGTGTTTGAAGGAGAAAAAAGTGAATGTCCTTGCATGGCCTAGTCAGAGCCCAGACTTAAACCCCACTGAAAATCTGTGGAATGACTTGAAGACTGCAGTCCACAAACACTCACCATCAAATTTAACTGAACTTGAGCAGTTCTGCAAAGAAGAGTGGGCAAGTATTGCAAAGTTAGTAGAGACCGAGACAAATCCCAACAGACTGAATGCTGTAATTAAAGCAAAAGGTTGTTCAACAAAATACTGACAACAAGGGGGTGATCCTTTTTCCAACTCCGTGATCCTGTTTTTTTTTTGTTTTTGTTTTTTTTTTGTTTTTTTTTTGGATGTTGGTGTTCTTTCTTTCACTTGGAAGTTATAAGTTGCACTGAGTAAATACAGTTGGATAAAACAAAAACTGTGTCTGTCTTCATTTCAGGCTGCAAAGCAAAAAAAATATGATTATTTTAAAGCGGGTGATTCTTTTCAATACCCTGTCTGCCGTGACCGTGATTTCACCAAGTACAACATGTTCCTGGATCAACATCCTTGTTTATCCTGGAACAACATTCCAATTAACCAATCAGAATTGAGGGATAACTTTTCAGGAAATATCCGTTTTAGGCTTACGATCATGGTTAGGTCCTTCTACACCCTTGTTAATCAACTATCATTTCACACTGATTTTAGGAATAAATTATGGGTAGGTTTAGGGGTATGTATTGGGTTTAGTCTATCTATTTGGACAGTAATGTTGATCCAGGATCAACAAAAGATGTTGATCCAGGGTATCACATATTGTTCAACATTGATAATAATAATAAATATTTCTTGAGCAGCAAATCAGCATATTAGAAGTGACACTGAAGATTGGAGTAATGATGCTGAAAATTCAGCTTTGCATCACAGAAATAAATTACATTTGACAATATATTCAAATAGAAAATAATTATTTTAAATTGTCATAATATTTCACAATTTTACTGTTTTTACTATATTTTTGATCAAATAAATGCAGCGACCTCAAACTTTTGAACAGCAGAGTATACAGATACATTTAGTCATTTCAAGTTAAATGAACATAATATATTATTAATTAATATTGATATATTATAAAATAACATGGTATAATTATTTATTAATTATTAACATAAAAAAAATATATTCATTTTTCATTCATTTTCATCCATTCATTTTACCAATTTAATTCTTTTAAACCGTTTCAGTGCATCTGTGGCTCACTTTAACTGAATCATTTTAATAAAATCCATACCAAAGGATGATTTATGTGTAAAACAGATCTCACTGATAATTGCATGTTCCTAGATGCTTATTCTGTGCTGTATGAATAAACGAGCGACAGGTGTCAGGCTGCTTTTCACATTCAAACCAACATGTTAAAAAAAAAAATAATAATCCGGCTGTTTATTTACCATATGCCACATGCTGTCAGATGAACATATCTGCTCGTTAAATTAGCTCACATATCAGTTCTCTCCTCCGACATGATGAGTTTCTTCAGCTATTAGACAGTAACAGATTTCAGGTTTTGTCTGCATAATAATGAATGTATGTAACAAGGGAAGCATTTGTACTTATTTTGGGTGGTAATTGCATGATAATGTGTTGAATTGCAGGGCACTGTCACCACCTCCTGTGCGGGTCATTAAGAAGCAGCCGCTGTCACCTGTCACCAGCCGATGTCAGTCACTAGCCATGATGAGCAGCTATTATTTTTTAGAAATATCGCCTATTATTTTTATGTTTTGATGGGATAACAAGCTCCGATGAGAGGTAATGCAGGTTGCAACTAAACAAACGCTATAGCTGACCTCTGCAACGCTGAATCTTGTTCCGCTTCTGGCTTGTTGCAGCATTGTTGCTGCTAGCGTATAGCACAGTGCCGCAGGATGACTTGTAATGGTTGACATATGCTTTCTCTTTATCAGCCGCCGTACTCTGAGGTTCTTCCCCAAGGGCTTCACAGACGGATGTCAGTTTTGAGAGGAAGTGAACCAGCGGGTTTAGATTTACTTAGTTTAAGAGCTGCTTAACACATCAAAGCCTTTAAAACCTTTTGACAACTGAAACTTCTGTTTATGTGTGTTAGGACTAAAGGGGGATTGAACCAGCAGATTTAGCGTTTATTTAGCACTCGAGTAACTATGCAAATCAGGTAATGCTACAAATACATCAAAATATTACGTTTGCACAGTGCAATACTCCATTTAGCATGCCAGTTCTGAGTTACTAGGCTTTCGGCGTTTTAAAATGTTGCAAATGTGCTCGACTACCTTGCATGTCTTCTGTATATACACTACTGTTGGAGTCAGTACAATCAGGTTTTTTTGAAAGAAATTAATCTTTTTTTTTTTTTCCAACAGTGATGTATTAAATTGATTAAATGTCAAAGTAAAGACATTTATAATGTTACAAAAGATTTCTATTTCAAATAAATGCGTTCTTTTTTTTAAACTTTCTATTCATCAACTCATCCTGAAAAATATGTATCACTCTTTCCACAAAAATATTAAGCAGCACAACTGCTTTCAGCATTAATAATAAAAACGAATGTTTCTTGAGCAGCAAATCAGCATATTAGAATGATTTCTAAAGGATCATGTGACACAGAAGACTGGAGTAATGATGCTGAAAATT